ACGTAGAAAGTACTAATAAGAAAGAGAAGCGTATAGACCTACTTGTGAATCCGTGAAAACTGTTGTTTTTAACTTGTTCGTGATTGTTTCATTATTCATGCCCGCACACACCCCAGTATAGTACGATCATACTCTGTAAAGAGGTATGTACTCAAAATATAAGTATTGATTTCACTGAATCATAGAGAGAAAGGAATAAAAATCCTAAACGATGATAAATGAATATAACTGATCCGAGGTAAGGTGATTTTTGTTCAATGGAAGTCGATGTGCCATCGGACTCCTCGGTGTGACCGGGTTTTTTTCTTCTAGTTGTTTACTTTAATTAGACGCTTTATTTAATCCCAATAGTTAAGGCGATATGTGATTACGATGGGCATACACGGTGTAACATGGTAGCCAATTCTGTCGCGGTTCATAACAAAAAGGAATAACATGAATGTGTTTGTATTGTGCGCGATTATCGTTCTTATTCTTACACCTGTAGTACGATGTGTGTACGATGTGCCGGGATTTAATTGCGATTTTGAGACGGGTCTGTTTGATTGGCGAAACGAGAAGGATAATGGGGATTTGCTTTGGACGAGATCAAGCGGAGTGGTGACACCTGAAGCCCCGGCCAACACGAACGCTAAAAGTGGTAGGAATTTAGAAGCACATATACTACATTACGTTATTTCTCTTCTCTTGGGCGGTTCTACATTCTTTTTAATATTATCTATTCGTTTATTTTTATTTACTTATTTATCTGATTATTTGCTTATTTATTTAATCATTCATTTATTTATTTATTTATTTATTTATGTATTTACTTATTTATTTATTTAATTATTCATCTATTTATCTATCTATTTATTTTTTATTTATTTATTTATTTAATTATTTTCCTTTTTTTTTTTCTTCATAATTTATTTTGTGTGTAGGGGAGGGGGGAAAGTTTTTTTGGAGCTTTTTTTTTTTTTGGGGGGGGGGGCTTTGTGGAGCTTTGTGTGCTTGGGGTTCTTGAATTCATTTCTACACATGCCTCGCTTGAATTCATTTGTAATCAAGACATTGGGGAGGCCATGGAGAATTGGGCGTTCTCTCCCTCATTTTACCTCAAAATGGACAACAATGTGAAGAAACTTTAAATTGCCTTTTCTTAGATATATTAGTAAGACTAAGTAATTTGAAAGAATGGTAATGTGACGATTTCTCTTCTGAGTTTATGTTTACTTTTCGACAAAATGAGGGGATCAGTGCGTTGGAAAGAAATTAGGAAATTTCCTTTCAAATTTGTTTTGGTCAATAATAGTTCAATCATTAATTTATGTTCCGTGTAAAGAATTCAGGCAGACTGAGAGATGTATTGTCAAAATAATAGTCTTCATTTTCAAGCCAAGGAGTGTTCTTATTATGTCTCTCTTTTTTTTCTCCTCGTCTCCCCCATCTCTCTCTCTCTCTCTCTCCTTTTCTCCCCTTATCTCTTTCTCCCACCCTCTCTCTATATACCCTTCTCTCCAAATCTCAAATGTCTCATGTCTCAGCAGAAATTGGCAATCATAATCATTATACATTATGTTCAAGTCATTGATACCCCTTTTGTTTAACTCTTACATGGTCAGGTTGGCATCTGCAAATAAAAGCAGACGGCTCTAATGGCAACACAGGACCAAGCACCCTGGTTTCCCCTGAAGTTCCGCTTATTGGAGGCAACGGGGCATGCCTGTCATTTCGGTATATCATCCAAGGCGACAGCAAAAACGCACTCTCAGTCACCTCTGCTGGTTCTACATACCCGGATGTCAAACTGTGGATGAAGACTGGTTCACATGATGACCAGTGGATGCAGGGAATGCTATGGCTGGCACAGAAGGACCATTCAAGTCATGTGAGTATATAAGACCAGCGGTAGTTTTCCGGAGGTCTTTGACCTATGTGTAGTGAGTGGTCAAAGGACTGTCCGGGAATTGCGTTCCGGGGGGTAAAGTTGTCCGGTGTAATTGTCCTAGTGGTATATGGAGTAGCATGGGATGACTTGATTACAAGAGCAAGATATATCTTTACCTTTTATCTTCTGTAAAACCCATTGTAAAATATTATTGTGATAAACAATACGCAGAGTAAACAGAAAGTATATTGTATTACGGTTTATTGCAATCTTTTGCAAATCAGTGGTTCTGAGAGAATATGGGGGGAGCTTGGGGTCGGGGCTTGGGGACTCTGTGGATGGTGCTTGGGTCTCCGCATTATTGTTTTCTACATGTGCCCTCGTTTGTATTAATTTATAATCAAGAAATTATTTGTTTTTGTGTGCGCTTGAGGAATGGGGGTAGAGCGCGCAAAGCCCTCTAGAACTACTCCTGTTGTGGCGTACATTCTGAACATGAGTTGCAATTTTCCATATACAGATCTTATTTTCTGGAGAGCTGCACGGCCCCTCCTCGATTATAGCATTGGATGACATCAGAATCGAAGATGGGCCCTGTGAATCTCACTCAGGTATAGATATTACCCACAAAACAATTTAAAAACATCAATAATATAGAAGAATTAATTAGAAATTAAATAAATACATGTACACTAATTTCTCCATAATACATTACAAAATGCTTACTACAATATAATGCAAGAGCCTGCGACTTTAATATTTTTACAGAAATATGGTACCATATTATAAATGCTTTGAAGACTATTACTTAGGTGAATACAGTCACTTAAGTCGATTTGACAACTAATGCTCGTTATTTTCCCACTAAAAGCCATTTTCAAGCCCTTTCGTTTTGAGGAAAGTTCTAAATTAGTATTGCCTTTCAAATGCCGTTGGAATTTAACTTTTTCATTTTGTTTGCCTGCAATTGAGACCTTTAATCTACAAATGCTATTCCTCTACCGTCAAATCTTTTTCATTCTTTTTTTTTTTAATTTATGTTTTTATTAAGAAATCAAATCACAACATATACAAACTTTCCAAAAAAATACAAGTGCTGTGTTACAAAAGAAATTAATGACAAATTAAGATATTTACAACGAATCTTTTTCATTCTTATTCATATGTACTGTCGTACGTATTGCAAAGTACATATAATTCCATCTTAATAATGTATTTATATTATCTAAGATACGCCACCAACTGCACCCAACTATGCGACAACGATTTGTAGAGTGACAATAATCAACACAGCAGGAATTTTAAGTGATATCTTTATCACAAAGTGAACTTCACCTCGTTGATTTGATATAATATCTTAAAGCATGAACAGTTTGAAATATGTAGTGCGTTATATGCTGTAGATAGCATTATCATTTACAATGAGACCGTATCTATCACTAATTTTGTTGATGGTTTATAAATAAATATTTTTATCTACTAATCAGTAATTATCTCCGATCAGAGAATACAATGTACAAACACTAGCTCGAAATAATCTGCATGTCAAAACGAATTTCTCGTTTGTTTTTTTAAGACAGTCATGCTGTAATTCAATTATAATGCACACATAAATTTGTTTGTTTACTTTAGTAATTCAAAATTATTTTTAGATCATGTTTTACTCATTAGCGTTTGTTTAATAAAGGTTAACACGGAGCCCACTTTCGCTATATATTCATCGCAATGTTGGCATAAAGGGGCGCCTAAGAATATTATATAGGCCTACATCGTAACATTTCTTCTTTTTTTTTACTTGGGTAGTGTTTATAGAAAGAATACATTCTCAGTTAATTAAAAAAAAAATCTTTTTGAAAAGGTAGTTTTACTTCATTTTTCTAAAAATGAAGTGAAAGTTTTACTCAGAATACGTGTACGAAAGTCAAATTATAATTTTTGACCTATTTTTGCATTGATCTAAACGTCGGCCCTAATTATTCGCTTATTTTAAGCAATCCAAACAATCGAGTGAAAAGGCTTCTCTCTCTCATGTTCTGCCTCTCCGTCTCTGTCTCTCTCCCCCCATCCCTCTCCTCTCTCTGTCTCTTTTTCCCATCCCTCTACTTTCTCGCTCTCCTCCTACCTCATCCCTCTCTTATCTCTTTTATCCCTCTTTTTTTCTCTCTCTCTGTCTGTCTGTCCCTTTCTGTCCCTCCCTCTCTTACTCTGTGTCTTTGTCTTTCTCTCTGTATCTCTGTCTCTCTTTCTCTTTCTTTCCAACCCTCTTCTTTTTCTTTCTCTCTTTCCCATTCCTCTATTCTCTCTCTCTCTCTATCTCTTAGCATTGGCAACATTACCTCCATTCGTTCCCCTTCCTTGGGATTGCGACTTTGAGGAGGACGATTTGTGCTCGTGGGTACAAGACACCAGCGACGACTTTGATTGGAGCATTCAAACTGGAAGCACCTCAACCGTCGGGACCGGACCCCCCGCAGATCACACCACTCAGACTAAGAATGGTGGGCCTACACATTTTATTCATGTCTTTTGTAGAAAGTGGCCACATGGCTTTATTATTGTTGGCTAGTAGGCCCTACTTATCATGGCATATATAAGGTTTGAGGGATATGTCATTTTTGTATTCTATTTGTATTATGTGAGTACAGCACTTTGATATAGGCCTAGGCCTACACTATGTTTTTGTTAGCTATTCACATATTCACATGAAGGTCTAAAAAGAGTAGATGTGTTTTTCTTATTACAAGTTGAGAAGATTTAAGTGTTTTTAATACATTAAACATGAATATACACTAAGGACAAGTATAATTATTAAAAAAAAGAAAATCGATTCAACGTATCTTCACGCGGAATCTATGTACATATTGACCGCTACTTTTCTATTTACGAAATCGTTATTAAAACTATATCCCTCTGCCATTCCTAGATTATGGTCTTAAATATCATAGGAGAGCATTTAGCCCTGTTTCCAAATCACAGTGTTCTTTTTGTTCTTTTGTTACCCCCCCCCCCCCCATTAAAGGATTCAATATTCATGTATTTTAATAGTACATTTCTATTTTAAAGAAGGCTTATACACACAAATAACTGTATTGACCCGAGGTCAACATGTTCATGTTCATTAGGTCACTACATGGCTATCGATACCAGCTCAACTATGCAGGAGCAGAAAGCACGCTTCTATAGTGACGTCATTGACGAGGACCAATCCATGTGTCTCATCTTTTGGTTCCACATGTACGGAGCACACGTCGGAACGCTCAACGTTGGCTATGGGGACGTGACCGGAATTCCAGGTAACGAAACAGTGTTGTTTCATCCTGGTTCGTTCTCATGCACCTAATATTTGCCTCCTATTTCTTTCTGAAGTGATTTGCATCTCGGGTTATGTGGTTTTGCGAGTGCTTGTGACAATGTATGACCCCACCCCCTCCCTTTTTAAAAATATTTGTTCGTGGGGGTAATTTCGTCAATTTTGTACTCGAGACCTGGGGGTGTCTTATCATAGCAATATTATTTTTTAACCCGAGAAAGCCTCATTGGCTTCAGTAATTTTCTTCCCGAGAGCCCTGTAATTATCATTACCCCAGCGATTGCCAGGTACCCATTTACACCTGAGTGGAGAGTGGCAAATGTGGGATTAATGTCTTGGCAAAGGACGTTGGTACCGGGCTGAGATTCGAACTCCAAACTCTTGGATTGAGAGTGAAGTGAACGAATCAGTGAACCACTATACCACGATGTTTTTTCCTTGTAATCCTTGTGGTCAAATTTCATTTTTATATTCATTTTTTTTAGTCCTGGTAAAAAAAATGATAAAAACCAGTGGCAAATCTGCTGACAAACAATCAGAAGCAAGGATTTCAGTAGCTTTTAACAATCTTTTGTCACTGATGACAAGTTTTGTGAAACGGGTCCCTGGTTGGCCTTGCAATCTGGACCACGTCCAGGGAACATAGCTACAACTGGCTGTACGGCCATGTAGCCATCGCACCCACCTCAGTACCTCCTTCTCTTGTTATCTCTTCTTCTCAGTCTCAGTTCGTCTCTTCGTCTCAGTTCTTATATTTCTTTTCTTGGTCCTATAGTCGGGCCTGCAATCTGGACCAGGTTGGGGGAACAGAGCTACAACTGGCTATACGGCCATGTAGCCATCGGACCCACCCCGACCAATCCTCGTGTCTTCTTTGAAGGGATAGCAGGAGACGGTAACCAAGGTGATATCGCCATTGATGACGTCATCGTTGTAAACGGTTCATGCCCTGCATTGCGTGAGTTAAACTTTCCTAGTGAATCGCTGTATAACTACAAAGAAATCTACGACATTATATTAAGCCGTTATCTAGAAATTTTAATCTTTAAGTCATATAATTTAGGTATGACATATATTTAAATAATACCTGATGTTTAAAATGGTGAATTTCAGTGATGTATTTAGCCTGGAATAATTTGGTTATTTATAATTTGCAGAATGTCTTCCTCATCCATTTTTAAATGTGAGATACGCATAAATTTCCCCTTCATTTGTCTTAAATCTTTTCTGAAGCCCTTGTACACCGTTATTATAGTGCTCTTCTCCCGTTTTAATTCGTATTCTAACATTTCTCTTTGTGTTATTCCCTTTTTTAAATTGATATTCAATTGATATCTTTTTTTTATACACGGTTAAAAAAAGCAAGACTGGTTTCCATTGGGGCCGTGTGAAACAATGTAAATACATCAAATAAACGTATCTCTCTTTCTCTCTCTTTCTCTACCTCTCTTTCTCACTCTCTCTTTGTCTCTCTCCCTTTCCCTACCCTCTCTCTCTCTCTCTCTCAGTATACTGTGACTTCCAGTCTAGTGATATGTGCGGGTACACCAACGATGATGAGGCGAGATTGCAATGGACGAGGGATCGAGGTCTCTCCGCCGTCTCCGGTCCGTACGTCGATCACTCCACCGGCACAGCTGATGGTAGGTCTGAAAAAGCAAAACCAACAAACGAACAAATACAAATAAATTTTAACTAAAACCAACTGCTCTGTATGTTTGGGGTTCCAATGCTTATTTCAACACGGTCTTCTTGAAACATTAGTTCTGCAAAGAAGAGAGCTTGAATAATGTAACTGAGCAAAATCGTGGCAATATCCGTTTACCCATATTCAAATCCATAACTATTAATGTCTTTGATATCTGATATCGGTGGTGAATTTATGCATTCCAACAAAATGTAAAAGTCATTGTTTTCCGCGATCGGTTTTACCTTGCAAAATGTGGAGAAAGTTCAGGGATACTAGATGAAGCGAAAAAGATAAATATAAAGAGTCCAGTTAAGAGAGATGGTGAGAGATCGAGGGAAAGAGAAAGATTGAGAGAGGGAGAGAAAAAAAAAGTGCGTTGGCATTTCATACTATATGACGTAGCAATATCAGAACACGTCACAAGGAATTTTCAATGCGCGCAACACTGCATGGGTACCAGATTGAGAGAGAGAGAGAGAGAGAGAGAGAGAAAAGTGCGTTGGCATTTTTATACTATGACGTAACAATATAAAAAAAACACGTCACAATGAATTCTTCAATGCGCGCAACTCTGCATGGGTACCAGATTGAGAAAGAGAAAAAGAAGAAAAAAGTGCGTTGGCATTTCATACTGTGACGTAACAATATAAAAACATGTCGCAACTCTGCATGGGTACCAGATTCAGAGAGAGAGAGAGAGAGGGGAAAAGTGCGTTGGCATTTCATACTATGACGTAACAATATAAGACAAACGTCACAATGAATACTTCAATGCGCGCAACTCTGCATGGGTACCAAACAGGTGCCAGATAATGTAAACAAGCATACTCAACATTACTATGTGTGCATTCAGCGTGTCCGAAGCCATTGCAAATCCGTAATGATTTCTTTAATATGGTTAAACCATTCTACAGGATGAGTAACTTTTTTAGGTAAGATAAAATATTCAATATCAATTATAGACACGCCAACGATAATTTTGTTGGTTTTTTTAACAATTCGCCAATAGGCCTATGCAGGTTTATCATAAAAGAGCATGGCCAACATAGTAACGTTGGCTTTCAATTTCCATTTTTTACAAGACTTTCCTGCGGAGTGTTTTCTGAGCAAGTAAATAGGCGATACTACATTTATCACTTTCATTCTTCATTCGAAAGTTCAAGTAAGAAATGCTTAGTGGCCAGAATACTTTCTTCTTCAACTACAATTGTATTTATATATTGTGTTCTTTAATAAAGATTTCTACATACAACTGAGAACCGGTCAATTTCCAAGGACATGTTACAACGTTGGCTACCAATTTTTAAATCTTTAACAGATTTAGCTTCATATCATTTTCTTAGCATGTAAATTAGAAATACCCCCATTTCTTATCTTGTGTATTCTGTATACGTCACTTCTAGTATAAGAGGCTCGGTGGTCAGAACAATCTGTCCTTCGACTCCTTTTTAAAAATTTATTATTTATCTTCTCTGAAGGTTTCTACATAAGAGTAAAATCGGGTCAGTTCCCACGGAGGGGTGATCAGGGGATCTTGACCTCTCTGTCTTACCCAAGACCAATCAGTGGATATAGGTGTTTGGAATTCTGGTATATGATGAATTGTAAGTAAATAACAAACACTGTCAATATCATCATTATTTATGTTTGGGGTGGGAGTAACTAACCCTACCCTTCCCCTCATATTCTCCCTTTCTATCTCTCTGTCTCTCTCTCTGTCTCTCTCTTTCTCTCTCCCTCTCTGTCTTTCTTTGTATATGTCTGTCTATCTTTGTGTGTATATCTGCCTGTCTGTCTGTCTCTCTCTCTCTCTTTCTCTCACTCCCTCTTTCTCTTCTTCCATCTCCCTCCCTTCCCCCTCTTTCTCTCTCTCTTCTCCCCCTCTCTCTCTATCTCTCTCTTCTTCCTCTCTCTCTCTTCTTCACTGTCTCTCTCTCTCTTTTCCACTTCCTCCCTCTCCCATTTCCCTTTTCCTTCTTCCTCACTTTCACTCGTCTTTTTCTCTTCTCATGTCTCTCTTATAATAACTAACTTTATCGACTTTTTCAAGGCCGTATTACTTTGCCATGTTTGCCTTATTCTCTGTCAAAGTGTAGTCCTTAATCAGATTTTTTTAAAAATACTTCAGTTCTTTTGATTGTTATCGAATTATTAAATTAAACAATAAAACGAGATTTTTGTATTGATTACACGACCTATCATTCCTTTTATTATGTCAGATGATGTGGGCGACTTAACAGTCGATGCGATATTCTTGGATTTGAACCTATTTGAAGTATCAACTGTATCTCAAACATTTACGGTAAGATAATAATTTCGATAATTCTCTTTAACCACAAATAGTATATAGTGCTAATGGTTTTATGGCGAGTAGATTAATTTTTTTCTCTCTCTCATTTCCCTGATTTAAATAATTTCACTTCATGAAAATTGGGGAAAAGAAAAATTTAAACACCCATGTTTTCTTTGCACTTCTTTCAATTTATTGAATTATAAGGTATATTCGACACTATCATGGGACTATTCTTAGTTTTGAAATTAAAGCTACGATTAGTAGTTATACATAAATTATGAAAATTCAAGGAGAATAAAACGTAGGCCTATAGTTGATAAGAAGAGAGAATATTGCCCCAGGAAAAATCAGGCTACGCCAATAGGTAATAATCTTGAAGTTATGCATTCTGTCCACAGATTAATGTTTCCGACAACAATTTTTTTACTGAAATATATTTAATTAAAAAAAAGAGATGTGTTACAAAATAACAAACTCGCATATAATATATACTTCTCGCAGGGTCCAACAGGTGGCTTCTGGCGGAAGGGATCGATGGAGGTCGAGACCTACCAAGAGAATCTCTTCCGGTTCACATTGACCGTTCAAAATACGCTATCCGGGGCCTATGTTGCTATTGATGACATTTTCGCTAAAGGGGAGAAGTGCGCGGGACAGCTAGGTATAAAAATACATGTACTAATAAGTTACAATAATATCATACACGTACGGATTCAGTCCGAAAATGATAATAAGTCAATGATACCGTGGCACCATTTCGGGTACCTTCTTTAAGGTCTGAGCCCAGTTGTACAAAACTTACCATTGATGGTAACTTTGCCATCAATGGTATAACTACTATGTAAACCTTGATTTTGATTGGCTGTTGAGCCCTGTTACCATGGTAGTTACCATCAATGTTAAGTTTTATGCAACGGGACACTGCATGGGCACGGTTTAAAACCTTTTAGAGGGAAATAATATGAAGATTTATTTTAAAAAAACGGATTGACCCAGGGCGCCTCACTCATGATAATCCATCAATTTAAGTTACTACTCGTCTAGGGGTAAGGACTAATAACATTAAGTACCAACGTTTTGCAAATAAACATATGATCATGATTATTTTTTGGATCATTTGAACATATATAGGGTCTGAATGGTTTAGGGGATCGATGATCGCGAGTCAGCAGATCCATAGAATTGTGTGACATCTTCATCTCAAAAATTGTAATATATACATAATTATATTCCTGTTTGGAGCCATCTAAGCAGATGTAGAAATCTATCGACCCGTTCTCCCAGGCCGTCAGTAAATTTGTCAATAAACATATGTCTTGGCACTCACCTGCCCCCCCCCCCTCAATGACTGACATACCCAAGATAATTATTAACATGGTTGTAGGCCTTATATTTTCAATATGAATAACAAATAAAATTTAAAAAACGCTGTTCTGTTCAGGTGTTCGTTTGCTTCTTGGTTTGATTGTGTAATTATTTCTTTGTCATTATCTTCTTTCCATGAGGGTCATGCGATTTCGAGATCGACACGTGTGATTGGTCGAATACGCAGAACCATGACGAGATTGACTGGCTACGACACAGCGGCTCTACGGGCAACGAACAAGGTAGCCCTGACTACGATCACACCACCGGCACTCCGTCGGGCTGGTACATGTTCATCGACTCGTCTCTTAGCACCTTCGGTTCACGGGCGAGATTGGAATCGACGGGACTGGATACGGGTTCGTCCTCGGTCTGTTTCAGTCTGTGGTACCATATGTCTTGCGGTGGGGATAGCCAGAATACTTTGAGCGTGAGTGAAAGTAAACCGAAGCAAGAGCGCTTTATACCTCAAAGAGGTGACCGCTCTTCAATAGTTCATAAAACTTCAGTCAAACCTGTCTATATAGCGACCGCCCAAGGGAAACACAAAAAGTCGTCTTTGTAGACAGGTGGTCTTTCTTTCCTTGACCTTTGAACATGTTTCAATGAGAAACCATTTTCAAGAGAAACAAAAAATGTGGTCTTTGTAGAGAGGTGGTCACTAATGTATGTTGGCAAAAAAAAAAAAAAAAACACAAAGAAAACGATATCAAAGTTCACTTTTCTGTATATTATATTACTCGTTTTAATAGCTTTTACTGTCTGGCGGCGGGCCTATTACCGAGATTTTTAAAAGTTATCTGCATGTCAATTTACGAGACTGACGGTCAAGGAGACCAACACAATTTTGTCTGACAGGCCTCATGAAAATTACCTGATACTGATAGTTAACAAGACGGAAATGCCAGAAGACCAACAGCTCTATGAGAGCGATTAATTCTGGCCTGGTCGGCCGTGTCTAAATTTACCTGTGGGTTAGTTTAAGTTTACGAGACTGAACGCCGAGCTGACCGAAAGCCCAGGAGACCGACAACATTAATGTGCGTCTGACGGGCATGTTGAAACATTACCCACTTTTTTATGAGACCGACGGCCTCGAGGTCCCAAAACCCATTGGAACGACACGTCGGTCACGCGGGACTTCTGACAAAATTTTGTTAGGGTTTACGTGACCTCGTGGGCAATCGGTCTTTTGGGCATTTGGTGTTAATTGTCAGTCGTCGGCCTCGTCAGCTGTCGGTCTACTGGGAGTTCCTGTCTATCGGCCTTTACGATCATCATCGAACATACCATAATCATTCTTTTTTTAAATTTAAGGTTGCCGGGGAAACTGCATCAGACTCGTTCAGCCTTTGGTCATTCACAGGTGTTACGAATGCAGAGTGGATTAATAAACAAATTAGCTTCGTCCATTCTATATCGTACAGAGTAAGTAGTAATAAGATGTTAAATTAACAACTAAATTATTCATACCCTTTGCGAATTTGATGGGGGGGGGGGGTATCGTAACTCATTAATGAACTATGGACTGGTTGGATCAGGGCCTTTGCCTTATGTTTTTAGAAGTAATCTTTAATATGTCACATTCTGAAGAAACGGGACAATTCAATTTTTTCACATACTTAAAAACGATACAAAACTTGGTAAGGGTATGAATAATTTAGTTGTTATCTGAACGCTAGCTGTGCCTCTGCATACTAATAACATAGGTTTTAAAATCTTTGCCGACATCTTCGTTGTACATGAAAAAGTAAAGTAAATCCTGTTATTTGTATATAGAGAAGAAGATACAGGACTATATTAAAATAATTAGTTTATAATTATTCAGCTGATTATTTACCTGTCAAAAGGTTAAATAACAATAATAATGCAAATAAAAGAACTAGAAACATCATGAGGGTGGGGGAAGAGAGAGCAAGCTTTAAAGGTATTACAAAGGTTTGGTATGGGGTCATGAATTTGGTTCAAATTAACATATTGGAAGCGTATGCGTTCCAACAATATTCATTGTTTCGTTGTCGCGGTTGAAATCGAGTCTAAAGTTATGAAATTGTAAATAATAAACTTCTTATGTTGTATAGCTCCCTCTCAAGGTCAAGATATTAATTTGGCTATGAATGTTCAATGTTTCTTGACTAAAATTGACCGATTAGCTATTCCTATTTCGAAATTATATATCGCAACTACATATTCTGAGATTTTCATGGTCGCAGCTACCATTGTACGGCCATAGGCGCTATTTGAAATTTATCAAAATTTACTGGGAGCACCTGTAAATTTTTATATTTTTCTCGAAAACAGAAGTGTTTTAGGGGCTAAATTTTCTAGTGCTTATAATACATCCACAGGGGAATCCAAATATATCGAAATTGTAAAGAATCACTATCCACCTTATTTTCAAAATTTCCGAAAACTTTGTAGTGTTTTAGAGGATAATTTTTTTATTGCTTATAAGACATCCACAGGGGCATCCAACTATATCAAAACTTCCCAAAACTATGTATTACCTTTAATAACGGTTTTATTCATTTCTCCTTCCCAAAACAAAGTGTAATTGTTCACAATTATTATATTGATGATTAGACTAGTCTCTTTGTAATCCGAAGATTGATAAGGGCGGCTTTGGGCCAAACTTTGACAAATAGAAAATAAAAGGGATTTCTTATGTATTCCGTTGAAAGATATACAAAATATACTTCAAGTATTCTTACAAATTAAAATGTGACCAGGCGAGCCTGAGTAATAATCAGTACATTGTCCAAACTTCTCAATTTTCAGTCCTCTCTGCTTAATCATTAATTGTTGAAATATTGCCCTTTTTAACCATTTTGAAAGTAGCTTCTTTCATAACTTCTCTTGATTCCGATAGCTTTTGATTGAAGGCACACTTGGAGCATCCTCTCTTTGTGACGTAGCCATAGATGACCTGTCCTTCTACGAGGGCGCCTGCGACGGTGGGGGCACGCCAGCCCCGCCTTTCGAGTGTACAACAGGCGAGGAGGTGATTAACAGTCAAAAGATATGTGACATGCATCCTGATTGTGCAGACGGGTCGGACGAGCTCAATTGCGGTATGCAACTTTTACTGAACTTTTGACATCCACTCCTACCGATATCACTTTACCACTATCACCTAAACGTAGTGCTTTGTCGCTATTGCGTGACCATGGGCGATGAGGGCGAGAAAGTACGCTCGACTTAAAAGCATCCTCCACCATCAAACATCTGTGGAGAAAATGCTTGCCCTACACTATTCAAATTAATCTTTAATCATTTACTGTCCCTCTAATCTGTGATATAGTGAAGTTTTCATAACGATAGAAATAGTGAGATTTTCATTACGATAAAACTCCCTTGATTCTTGCGATTAATTGCAAATTTGCAATTACTGTCCCTCTAATCTGTGATATAGTGAGGTTTTCATAACGATAGAAATAGTGAGATTTTCATTACGATAAAACTCCCTTGATTCTTGCGATTAATTGCAAATTTGCAATTGACCGCAACTCAAATTTCTTGTAACGCCAAGAGAGAGAGGGTGGGAGAATAACAACTAGATCTATTAAACTTAATTGAATTGTTCAAACTTTAATTCTAACAAAATCCTAGGAAATTTAGGAGACTATAGTGTGGCGTTGCAAGAAAGTTGAGTTGCAATCGATTGCAAATATCAGTTGCAAATTTTGAAACTTGCAATCATCGCAACTTTCTTGCAATGATATCCCACTCCTGACATTAGGGCCCCGTTGCATAAAACTATAACTTTGCCATCAGTGGCAACTACCATGGTAACGGGGCTCAACAGCCAATCAAAATTAAGGTTTCCATGGTAGTTACCATTAATTGATGGCGAAGTTACCATCGATGGTAAGTTTTGTGCAACGGGGCCCAGGACATTAGATTTAGGATACTTAGATACAATAAGTGTAAATTGTTTTCTATTGATATAATTATGCCATAATGCGACCTTATCACCACAGGAATCTGCAACTTTGAGGAAAGTCAATGTGGCTATACAACCGATCCCACCGGTCTCTACCCATGGATGCGCTATGGTGATAATGTCCCAACCACCCCACCCCCAACCCTTGTCCTTCCGGTGAAGAACCCGTTGACTTCAAACCGAACGTACATGATTGTTGACAATACAGCGATGCCAGGCGATGGGGCTGAGAACTCGCGATTGGTCAGTCAGGTGATTCAAGAAGTCAGCTCTGAATGCATCATTGAGTTTTCCTATTACCTCTCCGGGTTAGGTTAGTATTGTGTATTTCAATGTTCCGCAAATGGAAAGTTTGGGCATCGCTTTGTTTATAAGGAAAAGGTTTTTAATACATACGTCGGTTTACACTGTTAGTTCGTTTTTTCAGTATATATATGTATATTGTAGATCTAATCGCTATATCTTTACACCCGTATCCGGACACCTACCCCCTGGGCATCTACCCCTGGATAACCACCCCCATCAACTGATAACACAAAATGATTAGACTTGTCCTCATTTGCCGCGGTAAACCGCAGCGTGTTTTTGTTGTTCGTGTACTAAATACATTTAAAAGGAATATTAGTGAAAAAAGTGGCTTGTGCGCACAAAATTAATGGTCGTACGCCTATTACCTTTTCTGTGTGATATTAAATGAATGTTAAAATCCGCTGCGGTTTACCGCGCCATAAGATTGTAAACCAGCCTTACCAGATGTAAAAACGCTCCTAAACTTGTTTAAACTAAATGGAACGGCTATTCGATCGTCCATGTATCTATACAACCTGTATCTATCTATACTATCTATCTTGATACAGATACTCTGATGGTATCCTACACGACGAGCCGTGAGGAGGAGACAATCCTCTACCGAGCTGCTCGTCCTCGTACTGGCTCCTGGCAGCTAGCCATCCTATCCGTGGGACGGATCAGAAACCCATTCCAGGTATCGTCGTAGTAAATCGTTGATTCTTGATTATTAAAGGGGTGTAGCATGACGAGACTACGATGTGGCCTGACTCGGGGTCAATCGGGCATAATACGACTACGGACGACGTGACCGCAGTAATTACGTGCATGTAACTTACGCGAAACCGAAGCGTGAGGTGAACTTCGGTCTGTTTCGCGAACGCTAGCGTGCGCTGACCGTTAATCAAGTCCATTCTTTTACGTGCAGTTGTCAAAAAGAAGCCGTAGATGGCGTCAACCAGCAGATAATACAACCCCTTTAATATATTCACCCGGATATTCACATTGTTATCATCAGACCTATAAGTTTTAATTTTATAAGGCCACTTTGGCCATTCAGTAAATGGAAATCGAAAAATACTCCCTGCATTCATCAATAGTAATGTTTCAATGTTTATTTTCGCTATTCCTCAGTTCAACTTCTTAGCAACGCACTATATCGGCGGGAGCCCAGGAGTAACAGCCGTTAGTGACGTCACACTCGTAAGATGCGAGTTCCCTGACACGCAGGAGACGTGCATTGGCGAGTTCAGCTGCTCCAATAGGGCTTGTGTTTTCTACGATACCGTGTGCGACTTCACTGATGATTGCGGCGACTATTCGGATGAAATCATGTGCGGTATGTTTACCAATCCCACTCCTGACACCAGTATATAAGCCATAGCTTAAAGATAAACTTGAGTTCTGTTTAAAAAAGAAAGAAAATGAATTCTCCCAGAATCAAACGAAGCTTAGACTGAATGTTCAAAAGTACAAATAAATGTCATTTGTCAAACAATTTTGGTAGAAAATGTATACTGGCTGAGTAATTAGTATAGAAAGATAAGGAAATCAAGGTTAGTAGCCCCGACACCATTTGTTATGATTTCTATGACTCCAAAACCTTGCAGTACACACCAATACTTACATGCTAAATGATCAACTTTTTCTAATCCGTTCCACACCTTTTCTTTCACAATGCAATCGCATGACCAGAACTCAACTTTATCTTTAAACACGAGGTGTAATTTGAAGTTGTTCAGCGTCAGGAAATGACGAGGCCTTTGACGCAATGCGAGAGAGTGACATCGAATATGAAATGATTGCAAATAACACATTGTGAACATTACGTCTATTCAAATCAATTCAAATTAAAATTTACTTTTTTGGTTTTCTTCTTCATCTTCATATTAAAAAAAATCTTAAATAATAAATGTACACATACACGCATAATGACATGAACAACTCCATGAGCAAATTTACAGTTTTAACACGCGTACATGACTTGTGACTTTTGTCGAACACGTCTCTAAAACAATACTATTTTGGCTACTTTCTCAATAATTGTTGATTGGATGCAAATGATGTGTTAGTTATTTTAGTTCAAATCGTCATTTATATTAGCGTATAGGCTACGACAATACTATTTTTTTTTAATACAGTCCCTATCTCAAAAGGATATAAGGGTGGACAAAATTATAATCAACTTTGAAGTGGAAGATACAGGGATTGTCTTCATGGCGCGAAATTCAGTAACCACTCGTTTGGGAAAATGCTGACTTTAAAGCTCCACTGTACTACTTGTAGCTCCTTGCGCCCTCTATATAGAAAACGATTCCTAATCGGTGACCATTGGTCCCCCACGATACTCTTTTTATTACGTTAATTGAGAGCTGAGTTGATGAGATAGGCACCTGTCAGTGACCACCCTGGGTGGACTAATCCCTCCTAGCCTAACTAGTACAGACGGTCTTTAATGAATGATGATGGTGATGATTATGGTGACGATTCTGTGTTTCGTACTAAGATCCTGAGAGGCACATGGCCAGATGCGACTTTGAGACCAGCCTCTGCTCCTTTACCCACCTAGCCAGCGACTATCCGTGGATCCGAACTGCCGGTGTCCATGTACCCGATAAACAGTACGCACCAACCCGAGATCATACGACCAACGCTAGAGGGGGGTACTACATGCTGGCCGAGGCCTTCGGGAGAAGATCGGGGGAAGTCGCGAGGCTCGCTTCGCCGGTCTTCCTAGAAACGGGCATTGCGTCAACTTGCACTGTAAGTGCTTAAATTTCGCTCCAAGAACAACTAGACACTGTCGAAAAATACTTCAGTTATATTACTTAATCACACACTTTTTATTGTTTGTTATAGGCAGTGTATACTCGATTGAGAATAAAATTTTACATAAAGAGATTAATTTCACACAGACATCAATCGTGTCTCCTTCAAACAATCGTTAATTTACAACAGATTCTAACTTACTATTAATCTTATGATACAAGAAGATAGGATACATGGTACTATTTACCAAATGATACAATTGCAGCAAGATTAGAGATACCATAGACTTTTTGTACCATCGGCTGTATATTGATATTTATAATACAAAAATCAAGGATTGAAAGCATAATTACGGACAAAATATCTTAACCATATATTATTGATAGGACATATCATTATTCCAATCACAAGCTGACAGTACCATCCTAGTGTCGAGATAAAATATTCCTCAAACAATACATTTCTCCCCTCAGGTTCGTTTCTACCTGTTTGGTAATGGACCAGACGTTGGAACCTTAAACATCTACACCAGAACGACCAATGGGGGCGCTCTAAACCTCGTGCGGAGCTTAGCGAACTTTGCAATTGACAGTTTCACCTTTATCGAGGAGTTTCTGATTGTTCTGGATAATTTCCAAGTAAGTTCTGTTATCTGGCTTTTGGGCGATTCATTTTAAGGTTTAAGCGTGTGAACACGACCGAAGAGGTAGTGTTACAAACATCTTGAAAGCAGTCATTTATTTAGCCATTGGTTACAAACTTCGGGTGCCATTAATGAATACTCAGTAGGAAATCTTTTGTTGACAATGAACCATGTCAAAGTCTTTTGATGTCTGAATTTGAATGGAATTCACATTTATTTCCATCATCATGACAATTGTGACATGACAAAAGACGGAATATCATAACAGATATTGATATCGAAATTACATATAAACATTACTTCAAAATATAAAGAAAATATGAGAATATAAACTATAGTACGAAAAGGAAATGCTGCATCCGTAAAAACCAATAAGGCTTCAATGTTAAATAAAGATTAACTTGGGAATATTCCTCTCTTTTCAATTGTTTTCGCACAGCATGGTGATTTTTTTATGTTCAGTGGGGTTCTATTTGTTATTCATTTTTGGGGGGTAATATATCCCCTCCTTTTCTGTAATATCTATTCTAATTAAATAAGCATAGGCTCATTAACCCACTGCTGACACCAGTAATGTAATAAGAACGCCTGAAGAGTGTTTAAAGAAAACACCAAAAGAAACCAATCGAAAAACCCAGAGCGAATTCATAAACCGCTACAGGGGGGTGTTTCAAAAAGATCCTAAGTTGAACTTAACTCTATGTTGTTGTTGTTGTTTTAGTCTTAAAGGCGTGTGTCATTCAACTGTGAATATTTACGCCGAATCAGGTTTTATTAATAATTTTAAATGGGAGCAGAAAAGAGAAGGAAAAAAAAATCAACGCTGTTCAATTTTTCGCATTTCGCATTATGGAGAGCCATTTGTAGCCTTAAACTAAAAAATATTCAAAAACAAAAATTCAAGTATTTTAGACTTGATATGGATTCCACATCAAGAACATGAAATCTCCTTGATAATACAAAATATGAATGATTTTAATCAACATTTTATGCCTTTAAAAAAGAATTACAAAATATTTTCATGAATGCTAACGGTCTTCCATAAATGTTAAAGGCACACTGTCCTACTTGTAGCTACTTGCTCCCTCTATATAGAAAACTTCCCCAATCGGTGCCTGTTGGTCCCCCATGATCCTCTTTTTCTTATGTTAAATGAGAGCTGAGTTAATGAGATAGCCACTTGTCACAGTGACCTCACTGGCTCACTGTGTGGTCTAATCCCTTTTAGCTGAAGTAGTAAAGCCTGATTTAAGTCCAACTAAGAGATAAGTTCAACTAAGGATTTTTTTGTGAAACACCCCCCCCCCCCCTCCCCAGGTCGTCATTGAAGCAAAGGTCGGCGAAGGTCCCGAAGCTGCTATCGCCATCGATGACATCAGTTTCTTGAACTGTGACCTCTCCGCTGAGCCTCTCCCCATCGGGTCGACGACCCCCGGCCCGAGTACGCTGGCACCCTGTCCAAACGAGGACGACTTCCAGTGCGGTGACGGGCAGTGCGTAGCTGGCGATGACGTGTGCGATTTCCTAACGCAGTGCTCTAACGCTATGGACGAGAGATTTTGCGGTAGGATTTGTTAAAGTGTCTAGTTTGGGGGCCAGAAGGGCGTTTATTCTGTAGAATCATAATTATGAATTTATGTAAAAGCTATTAATTAAATTGATAGTGGAATAATCTAATTAAAGCGATTTTTCTTGCGATAACTTTTATAAAGACGAAAAGCTAATACCCTTGGAAGAAAAAAAACACACAACGGAATTGAAACGACTGACATCTTGTTGTCAATATTTACCTCATGTATTAAGGTCTCATTTACATAAAAATCTAATAAAGATGCAGAGACGTAACTATGATATATGTAAAAATATGAATAGCTTGATATAGTCGCTCTATATTCTTCTATGCATATCATTTTTTCGAAATATTTATGAATTACCATGTCACTTTTATCATTAATCTTGTATCATGCATAATTCTGAATTGAATGTTTATGATGAGCAGAATGATGTGTATCAATGGCATAACATATAAACAGTGAAATGCAATGGATGAAAGATATCCGTCTCTTATGACATTAGTCTTTAAGCCACTTGCTCTTAGATTAAAAAAAGGAATTTTGATCAATTGGTTCTTTCAGGCGATTATGAATATAATTTTGATTGATGTGGTTCAAATAGATGGGCTTCGAAGGGAAGCCGGTTCGGATCCGGATTATCTGCCACCCGATCACTTTGGTTACTCTATTTTTTTTAATCAAATATTGATTCTTCCAGGCAATTGTGAGTTTGATGTGGATTTATGCGGTTCGACTAACTTCGGTTGGCGTCGAAGGGAAGCCGGATCGGATCCGGATTATCTCCCAACCGATCACTTCCTGAACCCGACAGGTACAGTACCGAGATATTCCTTAATCTTGTACAATAGAGTACCGAAGTGTGACGTCATACTGGGTAAGCTGTCAAGGTTGCTAATCCAAAGAATGTTGTGCTGAACATTGGCGTGGTGGTCACACTAGCGGCAGCATCATACAGAATTTGCCCTGCTGCAGCCTGTTGCTTGGATGATTTTTCCCCATTTTATACATAATAGTAAGGAAATATGATGGTACGAAATTTCTAAATTAAATTCAAAATCTCTAAAGCGATTGTGTTTAATACTAATAGTGGGTTCTTGTATATAGGGATGGCTTCTTCTGAATCATCGGATCATCGCGTCCGATCTGCTGGTGGCGTTACCCGACCTTTCTTGAAATGAAAGCGGAAGATCATGTAAAGATGCAAGTTAAGGTCAGCTTTCGTAGTTTTGCCTTTAGGGTTTTCCCATAGTGTCGGACACATTATTTCACAAACATTACCCCAACTTTTCGTGATAAAAGGAGCAAACACCCGACCCGATGCGTAGACCCGATGATTCGAAGGAAGCCTATAGCGGTCACAAATTGTATTACCCGGCTTTAGCAAGGTTGCCAGTGGCGCTCTTGCATTTCAAGAAATCAATTCCTGCCAGGTTCATATTTACCTCATCTTCTTTTTTTTCTTCACCCCCTTCCCCTTCCCCTACCTCTTATTCGCCCTTCTTGCCACCGCAGAACCCGGGTACTACTTAGAAAGCAGCTATGGAGTCAACACGCTGACCACGCCCCTGATAGGCCCAACCGGTCCGAACTGCTCTGTCGAGTTGTATTACTATATGAGCAACTCCTCCGCCCAGCTAGAGCTGAGAGTCTACGTGTTATCTGGGCCTTCCCTCGCCCTCTTCACCGGCCGAGATTCTGCGAACCGATGGGAGAAGGCGACGGTGGTTGTCGGGCAATTCACTTTTAGCATAAAGGTGTGCAGGCTATTTAATTATGATTTAATGTGGTCAAACTATTGTATCCAACGAAAGATTGTTATGTAAATCTTTCATCAAGCTTTGTGTGAAACTTATATGTCTCAGTCATGTAGAAATAATGTAAGCATGCGTGACCACAGGTTTTCCTGACACCCCCTAAACGAGGATTTCTTCTGAAGCCAAAATACACCCTAAATGAGGATTTCGCGTGGTTTTCCCTAAATTCACACCCTAAACGGATATTTCAGAAAGGGGTCTCTATTCTACTTCTCGCGGCCGTCGTGTACACTATAACCAAGGAGTTGGCACTCCTTGCTATAACCAAAGATGACAGACTGCCGCACGTCCTATGATCTATTTTTGATATTTTATGAAAAGAATAGAACAGAAAGTCTTCACTTTGAAATTATTCTTACCTTGCAGCTTGCTTTCGACCATATATATCTGCTGCCTCCTAACGGGGAGTTTATGGCCCTAGACGGTATATCATACATACAATGCGAGGAACCGCAATTCCCAACTACAACGCCCAAAGGTGGGTTACTTTTTTTGATATTTTTGTCTGTGTTTTGTTTTTGTTTGTTCTGTTTTGTTTCTTTTCTTTAACAGTTCAACATTTTGGGAGCCTCGACAAAAAAAAGTCATATCTCATAATTTTAAACAACTTATTTTCAAACAAGGTTTTTCGTATTATACCGCACTTCCGTTTCTTTGGGTTTGTGTTGTCTGTGATGTTGTTGCTTTCCTTGTTATTATTTTATTTTCAGTTGTTTTTGTTTTGTTTGTTCGTATGTTTGTTGACCTTTAAGAATAATAAGGTTTTTTTTTCCATTAAGCTAATGGCCTGAATCTTGTCGATATCTTGTTGCCTCATTTCTTTGTACAGCGACTACTACCCCCATCCTAATATCACCTAGTCAGTCCCTTACAACCAGTGGATCTAAACCCACAACGAGAGGCATACGACCTACCACACGACCTACCACCCAGTCAACTAGCAGTAAACCCGAACGTACAACTAGCGGTGTAGAAACAACAGTGGGAGAGAATCTGCCGTCAAACTCTCCGAATAGTAAGTAACTCGAATTTTAAACTTCCATACAAACAAATAAAACTTGCCGAGTTCCAACAACTCGTCATCTCGTCTTCTCATCGCAAACAAGTCGACTTGCCGAGTTCCAACAACTCGTCATCTCGTCTTCTCATCGCAAACAAGTCAACTTGCCGAGTTCCAACAACTCATCATATCGTCTTCTCATCGCAAACAAGTCAACTTGCCGAGTTCCAACAACTCGTCGTCTCGTCTTCTCATCGCAAACAAGTCGACTTTCCGAGTTCCAACAACTCATCATATCTTCTTCTCATCGCAAACAAGTCGACATGCCGAGTTCCAACAACTCATCATATCGTCTTCTCATCGCAAACAAGTCGACTTTCCGAGTTCCAACAACTCGTCATCTCGTCTTCTCATCGCAAACAAGTCGACTTTCCGAGTTCCAACAACTCGTCATCTCGTCTTCTCATCGCAAACAAGTCGACTTTCCGAGTTCCAACAACTCATCATATCGTCTTCTCATCGCAAACAAGTCAACTTGCCGAGTTCCAACAACTCGTCGTCTCGTCTTCTCATCGCAAACAAGTCGACTTTCCGAGTTCCAACAACTCATCATATCTTCTTCTCATCGCAAACAAGTCGACATGCCGAGTTCCAACAAGTCATCATATCGTCTTCTCATCGCAAACAAGTCGACTTTCCGAGTTCCAAAAACTCATCATATCTTCTTCTCATCGCAAACAAGTCAACTTGCCGAGTTCCAACAACTCATCATATAGTCTTCTCATCGCAAACAAGTCGACTTGCCGAGTTCCAACAACTCATCATATTGTCTTCTCATCGCAAACAAGTCGACTTGCCGAGTTCCAACAACTCATCATCTCGTCTTCTCATCGCAAACAAGTCGACTTGCCGAGTTCCAACAACTCGTCGTCTCGTCTTCTCATCGCAAACAAGTCGACTTTCCGAGTTCCAACAACTCGTCATCTCGTCTTCTCATCGCAAACAAGTCGACTTTCCGAGTTCCAACAACTCATCATATCGTCTTCTCATCGCAAACAAGTCAACTTGCCGAGTTCCAACAACTCATCATATCTTCTTCTCATCGCAAACAAGTCGACATGCCGAGTTCCAACAACTCATCATATCGTCTTCTCATCGCAAACAAGTCGACTTTCCGAGTTCCAACAACTCGTCATCTCGTCTTCTCATCGCAAACAAGTCGACTTTCCGAGTTCCAACAACTCGTCATCTCGTCTTCTCATCGCAAACAAGTCGACTTTCCGAGTTCCAACAACTCATCATATCGTCTTCTCATCGCAAACAAGTCAACTTGCCGAGTTCCAACAACTCGTCGTCTCGTCTTCTCATCGCAAACAAGTCGACTTTCCGAGTTCCAACAACTCATCATATCTTCTTCTCATCGCAAACAAGTCGACATGCCGAGTTCCAACAACTCATCATATCGTCTTCTCATCGCAAACAAGTCGACTTTCCGAGTTCCAAAAACTCATCATATCTTCTTCTCATCGCAAACAAGTCAACTTGCCGAGTTCCAACAACTCATCATATAGTCTTCTCATCGCAAACAAGTCGACTTGCCGAGTTCCGACAACTCATCATATTGTCTTCTCATCGCAAACAAGTCGACTTGCCGAGTTCCAACAACTCATCATCTCGTCTTCTCATCGCAAACAAGTCGACTTGCCGAGTTCCAACAACTCGTCATCTCATCGCAAACAAGTCGACTTTCCGAGTTCCAACAACTCATCATATCGTCTTATCATCGCAAACAAGTCAACTTGCCGAGTTCCAACAACTCATCATATCGTCTTCTCATCGCAAACAAGTCGACTTTCCGAGTTCCAACAACTCATCATATCTTCTTCTCATCGCAAACCAGTCAACTTGCCGAGTTCCAACAACTCATCATATCGTCTTCTCATCGCAAACAAGTCGACTTGCCGAGTTCCAACAAGTCATCATATTGTCTTCTCATCGCAAACAAGTCGACTTGCCGAGTTCCAACAACTCATCATCTCGTCTTCTCATCGCAAACAAGTCGACTTTCCGAGTTCCAACAACTCATCATATAGTCTTCTCATCGCAAACAAGTCGACTTGCCGAGTTCCAACAACTCATCATATTGTCTTCTCATCGCAAACAAGTAAACTTGCCGTGTTCCAACAACTCGTCGTCTCGTCTTCTCATCGCAAACAAGTCAACTTGCCGTGTTCCAACAACTCGTCGTCTCGTCTTCTCATCGCATACAAGTCAACTTGCCGAGTTCCAAGAACTCATCATATCGTCTTCTCATCGCAAACAAGTCGACTTTCCGAGTTCCAACAACTCATCATATCGTCTTCTCATCGCAAACAAGTCGACTTTCCGAGTTCCAACAACTCATCATATCTTCTTCTCATCGCAAACAAGTCAACTTGCCGAGTTCCAAGAACTCATCATATCGTCTTCTCATCGCAAACAAGTCGACTTGCCGAGTTCCAACAACTCGTAATCTCGTTTTCTTATCGCAAACAAGTCGACTTGCCGAGTTCCAACAACTCACTATATCGTCTTCTCATCGCAAACAAGTCGACTTTCCGAGTTCCAACAACTCATCATATCGTCTTCTCATCGCAAACAAGTCGACTTGCCGAGTTCCAACAACTCATCATATTGTCTTCTCATCGCAAACAAGTCGACTTGCCGAGTTCCAACAACTCATCATATCGTCTTCTCATCGCAAACAAGTCGACTTGCCGAGTTCCAACAACTCATCATATCGTCTTCTCATCGCAAACAAGTCGACTTGCCGAGTTCCAACAACTCATCATATCGTCTTCTCATTGCAAACAAGTCAACTTGCCGAGTTCCAAGAACTCATCATATCGTCTTCTCATCGCAAACAAGTTGACTTTCCGAGTTCCAACAACTCATTATATTGTCTTCTCATCGCAAACAAGTCGACTTGCCGAGTTCCAACAACTCATCATCTCGTCTTCTCATCGCAAACAAGTCGACTTGCCGTGTTCCAACAACTCGTCGTCTCGTCTTCTCATCGCAAACAAGTCAACTTGCCGTGTTCCAACAACTCGTCGTCTCGTCTTCTCATCGCAAACAAGTCGACATGCCGAGTTCCAACAACTCATCATATCGTTTTCTCATCGCAAACAAGTCGACTTGCCGAGTTCCAACAACTTATCATATCGTCTTCTCATTGCAAACAAGTCGACTTGCCGAGTTCCAACAACTCGTCATCTCGTCTTCTGATCGCAAACAAGTCGACTTGCCGAGTTCCAACAACTCATCATTTCGTCTTCTCATCGCAAACAAGTAAACTTGCCGAGTTCCAACAACTCATCATATCGTCTTCTCATCGCAAACAAATCGACTTACCGAGTTTCAACAACTCGTAATCTCGTTTTCTTATCGCAAACAAGCGGACTCGCCGAGTTCCAACAACTCGTCCTCTTGTCTTTTAGCTAGCCTTCTTGTCTCAGATTCTGAAACAAAATCGTGGATTTAGCTCATGCTGCAATGATAATTATAAACCTTTAGGTCAGTCAGGAACCCCATGACTTTTACAAGCCGATCACCTGTCTGATTATCAAGATATTTATGATTGTAAATCGAAATCATATTTTGCATTTTCCTAACGGTTTTCATAACACCACAGTCTCTTGGGGGAAAACGAGTAGGGTCTATGGTAAAACCGGTCTCTCAAAGATTTTTACTTTTTTGAGGCACTTCATAATCATTTTGAAGCGCGATTTTTTTTTAGGGCTTCAATATTACACGATATCACAGACACTAATAACACGTTGGGCCGTGCATCTCAGATTTAAGATGGTTAAACGACGCCTACATTATTCGACTGTATTTTGGATTAAAAAAACATGGTACCGAGGAGAACGCTAAGGTGCTAATGAGGCATGTTTGCTTTATGTTTTCAATCTAGGGGCCCATATCCACCCCCTGCTGCCTTTTGTAATGCGGTCACTTTAATATCCCGTTTTTTTTAACGGGTCTCTATATCGTTATCTAACATTCATCTGACATCCTCTATTTCTCTCTCTCTTTCTTTCTCTTTAACTCCCTTTCTCTTTCTCTCTCTAGCTCTCTCTCTCTCTCTCTCTTTCTTTAGTTTTAGTGCCCCATTTCGTTTTGAGGAGTCTCAATATAACATATGACTATATATCATTCCTTTTATCCTCTTCGTTGTTGTCACTCTCTCTTTATCTTTTTCTCTTTCTATCTTTCTCTACCCCTCTCTTTCTCCATTTCTCCCCTCATTTTATCTTTCTGTATCTCACTCCCCTTTTCCACGGCCTCTCCTTCTTTTTCTCGCGTCATTTCTTTATTCATTATCAGTATTATTAGTACCCTTTATCTTATATTTATATCTTTATACAAACTTCTTTTCCTCTTCTTTTCATTTCGTCTCCTACCCAGCCGCACTGATCGCCTCTCTGTCTGTTGTTTTCGGAGTTATGCTTTTAGTGCTTGTCGTTTTATCTCTCATTTTCTGGAAGAAAAAGCGAACAAGGTAAAGGAGAAATTGTCTTATTGTAGTAAGTAATTTCATGCATACCAACACGTCGTGCGTCCGGATAGGATAGTTATCCAATCGATTACAAGCATTCTTTTAAAGGGATTGTGTATCCTGGATTTAGCTCAGGCTGCAATTATAATTATAAATCTTTAAGTCAGTCAGGAATCCCATGACGTTTGTCCGTCTGATTATCAAGATATTTATGATTGGCAATCGAAATTTCAAAAACCGTTTTCTTAACGGTTTTTATAACACTACAGTCTACTGGGGGAAATGGGTACGGTAAAACCGGTCAATCAAAGATTTTTTCCTTTTTTGAGGCACTTCATGACCATTTTGAAGTGCAATTTTGTTTAGGGCTTTAATATTACAACATATCAAAGACGCTGATGACACGTAGGGCCATGCATCTCAGATGTTGCATTGTTAAACAATGCCTTTAAAGAAGTGTACATGAAGTATATCTTTTAAGAATGATGTCGGGCAATATTATAAATGACAAATATTTAAGTGCTATTTATTTGATATTTTTCAAAATAAAACATCTAAAAATAGGCCAAATTATATATAGAAATATATTTTTTTTAGTGACAAGATTAAAAATTTAAATGTGAAAACCTAAAGCTATTACAAGAGCCTCGTTCATCAGCTGAAATTGTGAACAGCTTCATGAAGTTCAGTTAATTCTGAATTGATTTCTAACGGATGCAGTAGGGTCTGAAATTGTTGTTGAGTTAATTTTGCGAAAATCTTTGGAATAGAATTTTTAGAGAAATTGCCACTTTGTTGAGCAGACGATACTTGACGCCATTATCTGATGTTAGCTAGTTGTGGTTTTGATAGTGGTTTAAATGAAGACAAAAACGTATTTCTATATTTTAGGAATATTTTATGAATAAGTGTTTTGTTCTTGTTTTAAAATTTTCTAGTTTTTCAGAGGGCTTGGACAATCCTAGTTACAGCAAAAATTCTGATTCCATTCACGTAAGTATATGGGGAGGGGTCGTGGTATAGTGGTTCAGTCACTTGACTCTCAATTCTAGAGATGAGGGTTCCTATACTAGCTCGGCAGTAACGTCATTTGGCAAGGCATTAACAATAATAATATTCCGCTTTTATATAGCGCTTAATACATCGACGATGTCTCTAAGCGGTTTTTAGCTTTACTACAGCCCCGGCCATTATTCAGGCTTGCCTGCACACAAAGTATGCACATTCTCCACTCCCTACGGAACATTCCAGCCAGGCGACATTTTACAGACCCTCACTAAACACTCATTAATCCACATTTGCAACTATCCACCCAGGTGTAACTGGGCACCTGGCAATGGCTAGGGTGATAGCAATTGCAGGGCCCCCGGTTAGAATTGCATTGATGCCGATGAGGCTTCCCTGTAACTAAATCATTATTATAGGGACACTGCCTATAGCGCATAGTTACAAATGCAAACAGATTAGTCCGCTGAATTATTCTGAAAAGAATAACTAAAAGTGAACGGTATAATGGTCCATTTACCCGTCATAAGCGGGAAAAAGCACACACACCAACTCTTCCGTTAATTGTCTTCGTCCTTGTCTCTAACTTATGTTTATGTTCTCTGTTTACAATCTACTTTTGAAAATGATAAATATTTTGGTAGATATTACTTAAGATTGAGAAAGTCTCCCCCGTTCGACTTACATAATGTGGTTGAACAGGCGACTAATTATTTCTATTGATTAACTCGTTGGCTTTCGATGACCAGAGGAGTGTTATCATTGCTCATGAGAAATTATGTTTATTCATTTCCATATACATTCATATTTTTTTCAAAGGAATATTATTTTTATTTTTATTCTAGCAAGAAATTTAGTTATTCTTTTGTTATTGTTATTTTGTTATTCTTTCAGTTCGCCACAAATGCGAACAAGAGCGACTACGAATTATAGCCGCAGACGCAAGGCATTATGACGTCATCTACACCCTTCTCCTCCATGAAGCCGATGACTGGTCTAAGCCAGTGCAGTTCGTAGATACTATCTGCGCATGGGCAGATGAAAGGTCGTTTGCATAAAATTGTAAAACCCACCGAGACGAATATTGGATGCGTGTACACGAAAGTGACGTATAAATTGTTAATTTATGCACATACGGTACATTCTATAATACAAAGGTAGAAGTATATTCTTCTCAAGAGGGCAAATAACAGTTGTTGATGAAGCATCTCCATCACTTCCCTGGCAGTGATTATTATTTTAAAATGCGCAAAGCGGAACTTCTCCAGGATTGAAAGGTCTATAGATATTTGGAGTCATTTGTACCATGAGTTATCTACAAACTGTTCTATAACGAACCTTCGACTAAAAAAACATACTGCATGCATCTATAATCATCCGCATGTATGTCATAACTGAAAAGATAAAATTAATGCAATGATTCATTCCTTGGCATTCTACGAAGAATATATTGGTAAATGAAGAATGAACATATTCAAATTGAAATATGATTATGTCAAAAATCTTCACCAAACGTTGTTTCAATGAAACCAAGCTCCCTTTAAAAGGGCAATAATGAGTACAAAATGCATCTTTACGCAACCTGTATTAAAGAAACCTTGAGAATTAATATTTCATAATAGAAATATGATATGTCAGCCACAAAATAAAAATGTGCAATTTGCCGATATCAAAATCAGGGGTTTCATACTGATCACATAAGGGATTTCGTATAAAAAAGGGAAATTTAGACAACATTTTTTAGCCTACGACAATAATACTATATGGATAATCTTTTTTTTAAAGCTTCGCCACTCTTGTACTACCTCAGCATCACCAGTGTAAGTTTTGTATTTGTTGTTATTATTATGATTATAACAATTTTAGATAGGCTTATTACAATAATTGTTGGTACTATGAACATCATCATTATTATTACTATAATTATTATTATTATTATTATTAGTAGTAGTAGTAGTAGTAGTGATAGTAGTATTAGTAGAAGTAGTAGTAGAAGTAGTAGAAATAGTAGTAGTAGTACTACTATCGTCATCATTGCTTTTGTAATAATTATTATCATTAATATTATTATTATTATCATTATTATTATGATTATTACAATTATTACATATTTCAAAGATTTGTCATAGATCTGTTGTTATGGATGACAAGTTTTACGGAACATTACATAATTAATTTTATGATTATAATGGAAAGATGTTAATTAAAAGCATGTGAGATGTTATACCCCATTAGTCCATGGGCCAGACAAGATATTGGTACCACCAGAGGTGGCAAAACCATTGTACTTTTTTTTTGTTTGGTAGGCATATATACGTGTAAAAAGTTATGATAGCATTTCCGAATGTACAGCTTAGTCATATAATCAGCAGTTTCCATGGCAACACTACACTAAAACCGGTATTATTCAAAGAAACAGTTAAAGTCATTTAAAAATTATAAAAACACTTTTGAATGCGTAAAAATGTACAGTTTAGAATACCTCGCCATAAAGGAAAGTAATGAAATGCAAATTACATTACCATTTATAACGGTTGCCATGGTAACGACCCCAGAATAGCCTAAAATCAAGGATTTTTGAGTAATTTCAGTAACATATTAGACAATATGCCCTTTCAAGACAAGTTAAAGTCCCCTTTCCAATTTAATGAAAAAACTATATGACTAATACATCATATAAGCCATGAATATGCTATTTAGTACCTTCCCATTGTTACCATGGCAACATGAATTAGAGTTAACAAGATGCCCTGTATGGTACTATATGCCATATTTTGGCTATATTTTGGCATTGGAGAGCTGTTGAAGGTTCATTTTGGTGTCTATAAACCGGTTTTCAGGCCCACAGATAAAAGTTTAGAATACCTCACTATAAAGAAAAGTAATGAAATGCAAATTACATTACCATTTATAACAGTTGCCATAGTAACGACCCCAGAATGGCCTAAAATCAAGGATTTTGGCGTATTTTCAGTAACATATTAGACAATATTCCCTTTCAAGAGAACTAAAAGTCCCCTTTCCAACTTAATGAGAAACTATATGAATAATCTATCATATCAGCCAAAAATATATATATTACATTCGCATTGTTACCATGACAACATGAAGTAGAGTTAACAAGATGCCCTGTACGGTACTATATGCCATAATTTGGCTATAATTGGGATTGGAGAGGTGTTGAAAGTTCATTTTGGTGTCTATACCCAGGTTTTCAGGCACAGGGAACACAGCTGAAGCATTATTTTGGACATTAACATAATACATCACTGCTATTTTTCATACATTTGCATAAAATCAGAGCAAAATGACCATAAATGTATTCTGCCACTGCATATTACAAGCTGTTTCTTAGGGTTTAGAAAGATATAACATTGTGATGACTACATTAGATGCTAGAAAACTTCATTTGATTGTATGCAATGTTGGAACCAGCACAGATTCATCACATTAGTGACCATTTGTTTGTCCCTGGGAAGTCCCTGGGATGTATACAGGCGCGCCGGAAGCAGTTTGGGATTGGGGGGGGGGGGGGGGCAAACAATCCAGGGGGCTCACCCAGTGTCGGATCCAGGGGGGGGGGGGGGGCCGGGGGGCGCCCCCCCCTTGGGAAACAAAAGTTTAAAATCACGTTATTTTAACATCTTTTTTTGGAGATGGGCCCCCTCCTCTGGCGCTGAAGGGTGGGGGCGGGTGCAATTTTTTAAATTTTCAAAGAACAAAAAAAAAAAAATAGTGCTCACTTTTGTAGGCATTGAATTATGGTCAGATAGGCATATTTACTTAGATACCTTATTTGTGACAATGGCAGTTCACTAATTGGCGGGGAGCTCAGGGGTTTTAGTTATTTAATTACGGTCAGATGAGCATCCAGGGGCCCGTCTTAGGGCCCTTGGTGGGGTCCAGGGGGCAGAGCACCCGGAAGTTCAGGGGTTTTAGGTATTTAATTACGGTCAGATGAGCATCCAGGGCCCGCCTTAGAGCCCTTGGTGGGGTCCAGGGGGCAGAGCACCCGGAAGTTCAGGGGTTTTAGGTATTTAATTACGGTCAGATGAGCATCCAGGGGCCGCCTTAGGGCCCTTGGTGGGGTCCAGGGGGTAGAGCACCCGGAAGCTCAGGGATTTTAGGCATTTAATTACGGTCAGATGAGCATCCAGGGGCCCGCCTTAGAGCCCTTGGTGGGGTCCAGGGGGCAGAGCACCCGGAAGTTCAGGGGTTTTAGGTATTTAATTACGGTCAGATGAGCATCCAGGGGCCGCCTTAGGGCCCTTGGTGGGGTCCAGGGGGCAGAGCCCCCCGAAGCTCAGGGATTTAGGTATTTAATGACGGTCAGATGATCATTTTTATACCTTATTTGTAACATTGGTAGGTCATTTATTTTTTCTCTCCGTCTATCTTTCTTTTTCTCTTTAACATACTTTTTCAAAAAGTGACGGGGGGGGGGGGGCTCGAGCCCAGCCACTTTGCAGACCATGACATAAAGGCTTCTAAATAAGCATATTTTTCGCCCGACTGTAATTTAGGAATTTCTTATTTTCCAACAAACGCATAAAAAGGTATGACTTACAAAAAATGGAGAAAAAATACCGGAAAATCATGTCATAACAGCAACATTTGTAAATCACTGGTATCGTACAGATATACCCCCCCCCCCCATCAGTACGCCAGCGTTTAAGGGCTCATGTCTTCTCACCCTATAACATAACAAAAAAACAGACACGCTTTCCCATTCTCGCACAATATGTCCACGATATGCGCGTATCGCTATTATAAACCGTATAGGTAGCATGCGCAATGTTTATGAAATTTATTTTTTGTGAACTTTCCTTTTCTTTGAATGGAATGGTATATGTGATTTAATTCAGGTTTTTATTATTGTTATGGCCAGAGATTTTCTGTACAACTTGGTAGGACCTCTTTGGCAGAATCCCAGTCGACCAGAAAATTGAAGAAACCATCAACAAGGACACACAGACCACTGGGGTGGGGGGACAAAAGGTTCAGCCTAAATCCAGGAGCTGACATCTGAGTACAGAAGGTCAGGAGCTCATATTATTTTGAGGGAGTTGAGAGACATGGTCAGCAGAAACAGTTTACAGCACTTCAACCATCTGGACCTGCAACTAAGCCGGATAAGAAAAGATGAGGGTCAACTTGTCTACTGTAATCCCGGCCCCACTAGATATTAAAGACCTGCTGAAAGTTCACAAAGTAGGAAAAGAAGCATACCGAAAAGATTGTTTGGAAAAAGAGCAACCCATGGTAAACTTTCATGACAAGATGAAAAAAGAGAGCCTGAAGACCTTCCTCAACATCAATAAAAAGCAGGCTGGTTACAAAGCTAAAGGGAATCAGGTAATCGTGCAGGCAGACCGAAACCTCTTTGGGCGCATGCATGATCATCATTGCTCACAGCAGAGCGCTATATCTATTATAGAGGTTCTAGGACGCCCACTCGGACCAATACCGTGGACACTGGCAACAGCATTGCTCTCTGCGCAAGACAAACAGAGCTGGAGAAAATTGTGTCACCAGCAGATCTCACTCCGAAGCCTTCAGCTTGTATCATTGATAGAATGAGCCTTGTCCATAGACTCAAAGGGGGTGACAAGTCATTTGCACATCTAGCAGATGCTGCACTGACGCTAGCTCTGCACGAAGGCACTGATAGTGCCAGGACTGATGTCGTGTTCGATGTCTACAGGGATGAGTCCATCAAGAATGCTAAGAAATACAACAGAGGTTCCACCGATGAAACACAATGGAAGAACATTGCACCTTGTCACAACATTTTGCAGTGGAAAAAATTCTGAAGAAACCCTGAAAACAAAAATTAGCCTAGATTAAATTTTTGGTCGATCAGTGGAAGCAGCCTGCAGAGAGGGAGAAGCTTCATGGTAAGTCACTTTATGTAGCAAGTGGAGAAGCACTAT